CATAGCAAGTTACACCCGGACCATGGAAAACTACACCCGGACCATAGAACACTACACCTGGACCATAGAAAACTACACCCGGACCATAGAAAACTACACCCGGACCATAGCAAATTACACCCGGACCATAAAAAAACTACACCTGGACCATAGAAACTTACACCTGGACCATAAAAAAAAACTACACCCGGACCATTAAAAAAAACTACACCTGGACCATAGAAAATTACACCTAGACCATAAAAAAAACTCCACCTGGACCATAAAAAAACTCCACCTGGACCATAAAAAAACTCCACCTGAACCATAAAAAAACTCCACCTGGACCATAAAAAAACTACACCTGGACCATAGAAAACTACACCTGGACCATAAAAAACTACACCTGGACCATAGAAAATTACACCTGGACCATAGAAAAAATTACACCTGGACCATAGAAAACTACACCTGGACCATAGAAAACTATACCAGGGCCATAGAAAACTACACCTGGACCATAGAAAATTACACCTGGACCATAAAAAAATTACACCTGGACCATAGAAAACTAGACCTGGACCATAGAAAACTATACCAGGGCCATAAAAAAACTATACCAGGGACATAGAAAATTACACCCGGACCATAAAAAACTACACCTGGACCATAGAAAATTACACCTGGACCATAAAAAAATTACACCTGGACCATAGAAAACTACACCTGGACCATAGAAAACTACACCTGGACCATAGAAAATTACACATGGACCATAGAAAATTACACCTGGACCATAGAAAACTACACCTGGGCCATAGAAAACTATACCAGGGCCATAGAAAATTACACCTGAACCATAGAAAATTACACCTGGACCATAGAAAACTACACCTGGGCCATAGAAAACTATACCAGGGCCATAGAAAATTACACCTGAACCATAGAAAATTACACCTGGACCATAGAAAAACTACACCTGGACCATAGAAAACTACACCTGGACCATAGAAAACTACACCTGGACCATAGAAAACTACACCTGGACCATAGAAAATTACACCTGAACCATAGAAAATTACACCTGGACCATAGAAAATTACACTTGGACTATAGAAAATTACACCTGGACCATAGAAAAACTACACCTGGACCATAGAAAAACTACACCTGGACCATAGAAAACTACACCTGGACCATAGAAAACTACACCTGAACCATAGAAAATTACACCTGGACCATAGAAAATTACACTTGGACTATAGAAAATTACACCTGGACCATAAAAAAATCTACATCTGGACCATAGAAAATTACACCTGAACCATAGAAAATTACACTTGGACTATAGAAAATTACACCTGGACCATAAAAAAAAAACTACACCTGAACCATAGAAAATTACACCCGGACTATAGAAAATTACACCCGGACCATAGAAAATTACACCTGGACCATAAAAAAAACTACACCTGAACCATAGAAAATTACACCCGGACCATAGAAAATTACACCTGGACCCGCGATCGTGTGTTTAACTACATCTCTTTCCTGTCCTCTCCAACTCCTGCCAATCAAGGAAGATGGCTGCCCACCCCGAGTCCCGTTCTCCGGGACGTTCTTCCTGTTAAAAAGGAGTTTTCCTTCCCACTGTCGCCTGCTGCTCATGATGGGAGATCCTGAGCAGCACTGAATTGAATCCTGAGAACTGAATTAAATTTTAAAGAAAAGAGCAGGTGAATGAGTAAAGTACCATTTTAGGGAAGGAGAATGTATTCAGTCTCCCAGCACCAAAACATCACGAAAGAACAACAAACATAACTCCTTATCTTATCACCGGCTTTCATTTTCAACAACATATTTAATGCATGCATTGTTATTGTTACAGATAAATGTTTAGCTTTGATTGTCTGCTCGTTCAACATCTTTAAAATGTTACACAACTGTAGAGTGGCAGTGCGAGTACACAACATACACCTTTAACCTTTCTACAGTTACTAATGCGCATGCGTAAAATTAGGCATCCTAAATATATTCATAGCTATTTCCGGTATCGGGGTTGGCGTTCAGTCTATTGATCCTGTACACCTGTTTTTCAATGACTTTTTATACTAATGTATCGAATAACTAGTTTTACTGATACTTTATGTTGTGATAGCAAAAACGTGCAATGTTGCCGGGTGTCTGAATGACTGCAAAGCAGAAACATGCTCAAATGCCATACCGTGCACGTTTTAGAGGTTTCCCTGCTTCAACTTGATTTGAATCAATCAATCAAAAAGGCTTCTGCAGAACAGAAAGTAATTCAACTATTGAATCAAATATGTTGGAAACAAATGAAACAGGCAGGACGGTGGCCCTCGAGGACCAGTGCTTTAAATAATGTATTTTAAAGCACCAGAAATAGAAATTAACATATCATGGCCGTAATACGTCGTAATATACTGACCTTGACTATGTGTATTAGTAACTGTAAAAAGGTAATTCTGTGCATAACTTTCCCAAAATTAACAAACAGATGATCTACACCAGTGGTGTCCAATCCTGATCCTCAAGGGCCACAACCCAGTATGTTAGCTTGTTTCCCTGCTCCAGCTCATGAGTCAATGGTTGAATTAACCCTTTATTTTCAGCAAAAACCTGTAAATCACCTATTGATTCAAATCAGGTGTGTTGGAGTAGAGACATAAAAAATATGCAGGACAGTGGCCCTCAAAAATCACGATGGGACACCCTGATATA